ATAACAAATTGTTTATAACAAATTATTTATAACAAATTATTTATAACAAATTGTTAACTGTACATAGATATAGGTATGTACGTGGATTACTTAGTATGAAATTATAAAAAATTGTTTATAAAAATTGTTTATAACATATTGTTTATAACAAATTGTTTATTAATTATTATGCATTATTTAGCAAAAAAATTATCATTTATAACGGTATTTATTTCACGTTTTTACGATTATTAGCTTCGGAGATATCGTAATTTAAATAATAGAAATTCGAAATATTCCACTGACCTATATAATTACTTTTTTGAATGGACACTGACCCAGTGACCTACATAAATTCTTGGAATTTACGATACTATCATAAGTTACTCGACGTAAACCGGTTGTACTATTTACTACGCCTCGTACTCACATCATCTGTTCATTGAAGTTTTGAATGAAAATTTTCAAACGCTTATATCTTTGGAACGGAAAGTCGTAGAGACTTGAAAGAACGACCATTTTAAAGAGAAAAATGTCCTCTTTTTATTCATCTACTTGGATATATTAACTATAATAAGATCAATTTTATAAATTCGTGATAAACAGGTATTATGTAGATTATATAGGTACATATTCGTTGAATTTTTTTAATTAGATTTTATTGAAAATTAATCATTGTAGATTTTTATACAAATAATAATAAACTTCAAAAAGGAACAAAATTAAAATAATATAGAAACATATACGAAGTCATGATTGAAAAGGAAAGAAGTGTATTACTTTGGAAAAGAAGAGGTAAAAGAGGGAGGGAATTGAGAAAAATAGAAAGAAATGGAAGGATATATTGTAAAGTTTCATCGCAAGAGAAAGAGAGGAAAAGAAGATTTGTCTATAAATTTACATGGAGCGCATTGTACTCGGAGTCTTGTGAGAAATAAGAATTAAGGATGGATATGCACTGACAGGCTAGTGGATAAAGAGTCGAGGGGGAAGTTAGAGTGGAGCCGTGGCAAGGAAGAGATAAAAATCTAAGGATAAAGAAGGCAGCTTAGGTGGCCGAGAATGTACTTACATGTATGTACACACACACATATATATATATATATATATATATATATATATAATACAAATACACAGCCACAGACATACACTCTTTCTAATCCTGAATAAGGAAGGAGTGTACCAAGAAAGAGAGACTTTCGTGTTTCAAGGGAAGAAGACGAAATATACGATACACGTACACACAAATATACACAAACGTACGTATGTACATACACACATATATATATATATATATATATATATATACATACAGAGGAAAATGAAGCTTGGACCGACAAAGGACATTTCAACCTAAAAACAACGGGCTTTATATTCGTGAGTTTACGTAAAGGAAAATGAATTTTGTTCATGGTGGAATACAGCTCGTCCTTCACGTGTTCTTTGTAAATCGATCTCTCAATTTTTTACGCGAGCAGCGTCATCATCCTTTTGTAATATTAAACCTTGGAATGAATACCAGAGTCGATAAAGAACCAACTTTAATCTGAATTTAACGTCCGTATGTTTCTTCTCTTTTTTCAGAAAAATTTTTCATTCAAAAAGTGAAACGTTACTTTTATGGAAATAAGTAATATCTAAAGATTTCGGTAATTAATGACATTTAAACGTCATAATAACGTAATAAACTTGTGCAGAAATATGTGGCACAATTTTTTATAAGAAAACAAAATTGCTTTTCTACGTTGTAATCAGACTTATTTAATGAATAATATTTAATATAACGCAAACGGTGAAAAATTTGAAACAATAACAAGTAATATCTATGCGTTATTTAAAAATTATCTAAATGAATTCGTTCATTGTCATAGACAATAGTTAATAAATGGAGCGTGAGATTAAGTGTGAATTAATACCAAAATGATCATCGTTAACGGTAAATAGAATTACAATTGGTAGGATAGAATATTGAAGAGAGAGACAGAGAGAGAGACAGAGAGAGAGAGAGAGAGAGAGAGAGACAGAGAGGGAGAGAGAGAGAGAAAGGACCATAAGGTTAGCCTCGGGAAAGCAGCCAGGTACCGTCCAAAGTGGGGCATTGGTCGCCAACTGGCTTTGATACATTACCGAGAGATAAACCTATCTCCTTCCAAAGCCAGGATGATACCGACCAACTGCATGCCATCGCCGGTTACTGTAGCATACTTCGAATATGCATCCAGCTGCCACCGTGTTACAAACCCTCACCCACTTTCCTAATACGTTACGATATCTGATGCAGCCGGTGGTCCTCCGCAATGTGTCCTTTATCGACAAGATTTTATTCGATTATTGATAATATAATACATACATATACGTTCTAACTTACTAAATCGTTCATTGAATATAACTACAAAAAGATATAATCAATGAAATTAAAAAGTAGAGAATATGTTTTGAAGAATAAAAAGAAAAGCTTTTCTTAAAAAAAGAAAAAAAAAAAAACAGAAAATAGAGAAAGAGAGAAAAATTTGTAAGATAAATTTGTAAAGGAAAATTAGGAAAAAGATTGGAAATTGGAAATTTTTTGCTTTAAAATAAAAAGAAAAATTCTGTCGAATATCTGTGAAACATAATGCGAATGATTTATATCAACTAACTATGCTCGTAATAAGAAGAAAAAAAAAAAAAGAAAATAAGAAAAGAATAAGAATCAAGAAATGAGTATATAATTTACTACTCGTTTATCCTTTGCAAATTGTCGTTGTTAAAGTATAAAAGAGGATGATCAATTGTAGATAGCCACTAACGATAAATGGAAAAGAAATTGAGAAAGATTGTATGTAGTTATTTAGAAAGAGAGAGAGAGAGAAAGAGTACTAGTTGGTTGGTTCACTGACTGCTTAGATACGGCATTGTCGACGTTAGTAGTACGGCATTGGCCATGGATGCCGCAGGCTGCTGAAGGAAATTGCATCTGAAATTTCAATATAGCAGTTTGCGCGTTTCATATTTCAACCGCAAAACGGCCGGAGGGTAGGTCGGTATTACTTTGAGCTTGCCGCGTAAGCTGACTTCGTCGAAAAATTATAGAGATTTCGATTCAACTTATCCTATCTTATTATCATTTTCTATTGTTTATATCATTAAATATCGATAATCTTCGCAACATTGTTTACGTCATCTTTTACATAACCCATGACAAGTCACAAATCAATTTATAATTATATTATCAAAAATCTTCCGATTCGTTTCTCCTTTCAAATATTATTTATTATATTATTTTATATCGTTTATATATTATATATAATATATTTATATATATATATATATATATATATATATATTTACATTTATATAGTTGTTAATCTCTCGAGAATTGTTTATTCCTTTTCTCGATATTCTTTCTATCAGATTAATTTTCAATCAATTGTATAAAAATCTATCGATTCGTTTCTCTTTTGACAATTTATTTATTATATTATTTTTTATAGTTTGTAGAACATACGATATTAATATACCGATTGATCATATCTTTTCTCAAATTTTCTTTACATCGTACAAATTACGAATCGTTATTTCCTCAATCAATTTTCCAAAAACTCATTCCACTCATTACCCCCTTTTTCATGTCAATCGTTCAATTCCATCGCAATCGATCATCGTTATTTCAATTTCTATTTTTGACTATTCCTATTTTTTCTCTTTTTTTTTATCTCTTTCATCTTTTTTTCTTCTTTGTTTTTTTTTCTTTTTTTCTTTTTTTTTTTTTTTTCATTTCTGAACCGGAGACACACAACCTGCTTCTAACGATGACAAAAGAATCCGATCGTGATTTATCTCGGGATTCATGGATGGCTGTCCAGTAAGCGCAATCGGCGATTCCGAACAATGGACGCAATTGAAAGCTATGGCACTCGGCGACGCGAAGTTTTATCGCAAAGAAAACGACTTTTTTGCGAGTCTCTTTTTCTTCTTGCAATTTGTTAAGTAAGAGAAAGAAAAAGAGAGAGATAGAGAGAGAGAGAGTTAAGACAAGATTCGAAGGATGAATGCGGTAAGAGAAAGAAGGACTGCAAAGTTCATTGCGTTTGCTGTTGGAAAATCCTCGAGCATGATGATTTATTCTTCGTCACGGAGAAAAAACAGAAAGCTATAGAGAATAGAGACAGAGAAGGAGAAAGAAAGATTTCTATAGAGATCAATGTGAAACTTATGTACCATAAACGAGGTCGAGCAGCCGTCACAAGATGGTAACGAAAACATTTATTCGCCAAATTAAATCCTGAGCGAATGGAAGTGATTGATCGGAATTTATTCTCAAGAAGAAAAAGATTTCTCTCTCTTTCTCTCTCTCTCTCTTTCTCTCTCTCTCTCTCTCTCTCTCTCTCTTTCTCTCAAACTTCTTAGATGTACAAAAAGTTACGCTTTGTCGTTTATCACGCATCTCAGTGATCGTTTCTAGTTTGACGATCCTTACGAGAGTATCAAGACGTAACTCGGATCATTGAACTTGGAAAAGATTTTATTTCAACGAGCTAACGTGATTAATCGTATGCCGGCGTAAAGTTTTATAGGGTATTTATGAAATTCTTTATTCTCAATCCTTAAATCTTTGATGGAAGTTTAATTACACTATAAGAGATACAAAAGATAACATTTAAAGTTTTATACCCTAAGGTATTCTTTTACTATTTCGTAAGCTTTTCTTTTTTTTTTTTTTTTTATTACGAACGTCAACATCTAAAATTTTAATAGAAACTATTACGAAAAAGTAATAACTACTACCGAAGATAAGAAAAGTATCATCAAACTGGTTGTAACATTTATTCGAATAATTTTCCATAACGTTCCTTCTCTTTATTTTTTTTTCTTTTCTTTTTTTTTCTTATCGCATTTAAAAAAGAAAATCAAATGTAAAATCAAATGTATATATTATAAAACGAAACGTTAAATTAATCCAACGTATATCCAACGTATCTATCTAATGTAAAAATGATGTAAGTACGATAGATATTACCATCATCGATTTATTATTGCAG